TATATATTATAGTTAGTTACCTATTAAATGTTACTATAAGTAGTAAGGTGATCTAAATATGAAGTGATCCATGCCCACCATGTACTTTTCAGTTATATTTGAAACATATTCTGTATTATTTTGTCTGTAACATTTTCCAAATATGTATCTTATCTAGTTCTCTAGAGGAGCCTTGAAATAGTTATTTTGGGCGCTTACTAAAGATAAAAACATAAGACATTATCCTGCCACTGAGACAATGACATTTTTTCCAGTTAAAGCTGCTCTCATCTTTCTTCCTCTCATGCTGAGTTTACACATTTTAATTGGTTTATAATTATAGGAAACACAAGCAGCGGCAAACCCCAGGTTGTTTTGTCATGTTGTCTTCATCCAGGGACTGTAGAAATCTTGATTCTGAAGGAAAGAGAAAACAATTTCATATCAAAGGAAATATCTCTAAGGTCAAAGAACACAGCTAAAATTTTGCAACCTCAAGAAACCTCTGGCTTATTCAAATTCTCACTTCCTTTTTCTTGGCTGGGGATATCAAAGAAGAAAAAAATAGGTATAAATGATAGATTTTCAAAATTTAGGGTCATTAAAATCTGAATGACTTAGAGGCATATAGCTGTCAGTGTAAAATCCATTTTCAGATTTTTCGTGCAATAATCAGGCACTGACTAAGAATGAAGAAAGAAATAGATGTCACTTGGAGTATTACTCATGGAAATCTCACCTCCAAAATCTGCCACCACAGCATGCCCATCCTCATAAAGAAGAATATTGTGACTGTAAAAAACAAAAATAGACTTTGAGTAAGCTTTACTATTTCCTAATCCAATTGGCTCTTCAAGGAAGAGGACAATAGACATCATTTATTTACTCCAGAGATTAAATGGGCTCCAAGAAGCTAACTCCAATTTTCCTCATTTTGTTAATTCAAAAGAGATATTTATAAAATATGATCATGTTCTAACATTGAAAGTATAAAGAATTCCTACTTTAGATAAACCCTCTAAACTTGTTAAAAAGACCTGTTAGCTGAAGATCAGTTTTTTTAGCTCCTGAGGCTCATTTGCTAACAACTGTGGTTACAGGGAAAGAGTAAAAGGCATCATGAGCCTCTTAGAGTCCAAGCAGCAGAACCAGCTTGCTGGAACCCTAGGCACAGGGATAGTTCAAGGCAAGGCCTAAAATGAAGATAGCAAAAAGACTCTTTATAGAAAAAGCCTTGGACAATACATTCTAGCTACAATCTCAGACAAAGGAGTGTTTTAAGGTCTGTAGAATGAAGTCAGCTAAACCACTTTTTAAGGTTTTGAGGAATAAAGAATAAAGGTCAGCAAAGTTTCCTTTCATATCCAGAATTCCAGCTAGATTAAGAGAGTGTCAGAGTAGGTCTTCAATGTTCTCACCACAAAATAAAGGTAGCTATGTGACGTGAATGGATATGTTAATTAACCTGCGTATGGTAATCATCTCACAATGTGTGTATATATATATATCTCAAATCACTTTTTATATCATAAATACATATTATTTTTATTTGTCAGTTATACCGGGGGGAGGGAGGTATTTTTTTAAAGAAGTAAATCAAAGTTGGGATAGTCCGAAGAGAGGTTGTTCCTCCCACAAATTAGTAAATTGAGCTGTGGACTGTTTTACAGACAAGCATACGATGATCCAAAATTGTCTTTGAATGCTTCTTGCTGAATGCTGCTGATGCCCACTTCACACCTGGCTTGCAAAGGAGTCATTCAATATTAGGAGAATCCCACTGGATTTCTTTTAATGCATATGGGCTACACTGCATTTATTTTGTAAAAAATTATACAATGTTCTTCTAACTTTAATTATTTTGCTTTATGCTCAAATAAGAAAAATACTGTTATTACTTAGTCCTGGGTAAGTCCAGTGTGATATTGAATCATTTATATAATTGCTTTCTGGCATTGATGTGGCCTTTATAAGAAAGTTACTTTTGAACTTATATTGTAATTGCTAATGTTTTTATCTTTGGAGTGCAGACTTAATCTTTTCAATTAGGGAAAATCTAAAATGTGTTAAAGTCACTTTTCTTAGAGTAGCACAGCGTAGAAGTATTTGAGGACATCATAACAGGAATCTCCAAGATGTTGTCTTTAACCACAAATTACTAATTGATACATGTGATGAGAATGAAATTGTTAAGTCAGAGAACTCTACAGCATCAGGAGCTCTCTGGAAGTTCAAATGCAACAAGAAAAGTATATCTAAATGCTGTACCACTAGATTACTTACAGGATTTGAAAGACTTTCATTACCACAATCCCTTGGCCTATCAGGGGATAATTAGTGTTACATTTCACATATATCCTTGAAACACATACTGAACATAGATTTACCAATCATATTAAAATTATATATAGCATTTTTTATTACTTCCATGATTTTATTGTTGACTTCAATTAGTTATTTAGAACAGTGGTCATCAAAATTTTTTTAGCAGCATGACCTTACTATATAAAACAAATTTACAAATAGATCTGCTCTAGTTAAATATAGGAAAAGGCTCACAGGACCCCTCCTTAAAAGTCCTCTTTTCTAATATAGCAGTTCTATTAGAGGCAATGTCTCAAAATCATGGATCTTGAGAAGCCTTGAATAAGTTATACTTCTAGGGCATAGTTCATTTATTAATTTGTTTGTTTAAACTTCTTCCAAAGTAAATAATACATGTTACTAAGAATGACTATACCAGCTAGGTGGAGTGTTTAGCAAAAATTTACTCTTCTATGAAAGAAATTTTGTGGTCACTAGGCCAGCGGAGAGGCAGGCTGTCTCAGGGTGCAGGTATTGTATCTTGTTCATTGATGTACCTCTAGCATTTTTAGCCCACTGCTTATCACATAGGAGTATTCAATAAACATTGGTTGAACAAATAAATAAATGAAATGAAACTGAAAATAGATCCTACTATTTCAGGTAACAATCAGAACTTGGAAGGGTAAAGACGGTATTATTTAATCAGAAAGTACTTACTGAACACCATTCATCGATCTATAAATAAGTATTTAAAATTCAGAGAACACTAAATTGGAAAAGCCATTGGAGGTAACCTAGTTTAAGCCTCTTAGTTTCTATAGAAGTCCAAAGCTCAGAGAATTTAAATGTAACACCAGAGGCTACATAGGCGGTGGCAGTATAGATCTAGAATTCTGTTCATCCAAGTTACCATCTCAGATGTTAGAATAGTTCCTGACAAATAGTAGGCAATCAATTTATATATATTTTATGAATCATCCTTGGGTCATGCCTATGTACTTTTCCCCAAATCATGATATTTGCTTTCCCACATTGTCACAGCACTCTGGGAGATGTAAAGTAATACAAGTGATGGCTTCCATTTCCAAGGAACCTATGATATTCTGGTGAAAACTGAGATGAATGTTTTAAAAGAAAATAGTGTAAGTTAAGAAAAAGATTAGCTTTGAAGTGGGCTTTGAAGGACCGTCAATTAGTGAGAGTATAAATACGTGCTGAGACTTTGTCATGTGCCAGGAAATTTTCTATATACTGGGATACAGTGGTGAACAAGACAGGCAGAGACTGAACTTACTTTGTAGTGCAGAAGAGATGAGGAAGGAAGAGACAAAAGAGGAAAAAATTCCAAGTTGGGGGAAAGATCTTGGCAAAGGGCAAGAATTGGAGATGTGCGTGGTATATAACAGGAATGATAATAAAAATGTTCTTACTAAATTGTAGAGTACATGCTGAAGAATAATGAGGGAATATTTGGGTGGAAGTGGTGGTATATTTCTAGGGAATTTGAAAGCCAGAGAGCAAGTCTGGACTTGATGCAGGAGGTAACAAAGATCTAGTACGGGGTTCTATGCTCTCTGAAAGTAGAGAGAGTATTAAAGGATAATTTTAGGCTCTAGTTACCAAATGACTAAAGTAGGAAGGTATAGTAGAAAACAGGAAACAGAGTGAATCCATCAAAACATCTGGGAGAAATATCCAGATCTGAAGACAGATTAGAAATAGAGGATACAACAGAACAAAACAAGCATAACCTTCAAAATCCTAGTTTGACCTTCTAACCACAAAGCAATAATGTATACAGTGAGAAAGAGCCATCTTACCAGAAAGCCTGGGGATTGTTATGAAAAGGATAGTGGCTGACTCCAGAGGATATGGAACTTGACTAAAGTCAAAGTTATGCTTGGCAAGATTAGACCCACAAGATAGATAGCTGTAACATTTATCATACTGAAATCACATTCGAAGTAAACTCTTATATTTAACAAACAATGGCAAATCAAACAAAACAAAGGATGCAGTAGCACTTGAGGAACGCAGGGAAACATGAGTTAACAGCAGGATGCTATGAAAATGACATTGCAGAATGAGAGCACCTTAGGAAGGTCTAGAACAAAATGGAATTTCTTATTCGCTCCAAGATAGTCTTTTGGATTCGTCTACCCCTTCTCTAACTGCTCAGTAACAATGAGAACTACATTTTAGATCTACCTCTAAGATCCTTTCATTCATTTTGTTCAGTAAGCCACGCTTTCTACATTGAATGAAATAAATGGAGGGGGGAGGGTGGGGGTGAAGCTGCCAGAATCCGTGCTGACCAGGGGCAGCACCAAGCCTGGGTTGGCACTATGTTCAGAGTCAGAGCCTGTGGAGTCAGAGAGGTCACCTGAAGGGTCATCAATGTCAGAGCTGCAGATATCCAGGGAAGGAAAAGAGCTTGGAGCTGAAGCCAGCTGGGACAACAGAAGTGGGGCAATTAGTATTAGTGATGAGTTCAAGAGTTTATTACCGCAAAATGTCATGAGCTACAAATTACAGAAGAGTGAAAATTATGGGAATGCAGGAGCAGTAATGGAGAGGATGGCAGTATAGAGAGAAGGGAGTAAATACTGAGCAAGGGCCTCCTGTAGGCAGGCACTGGTGTTTTCCACATTTTTCCATTCCTCATGGAGTCTCCATATGGTGGGTATTAGCATACCTATTTTACAGATGAATAATTGAAGCTCAGATTGCTAGTATCACAGCGGGTAAGAAGTGGAGCCAGCACTCAATCTCCAAAGTCTGCCCTTTTTAGGAGAAGCCGACTCCCAAATCAACCAGATTCCAAGGAGGAGTCAGGACTGCTCTAATTAGATGTCTGGACTCTGACTGGGGCGGGCGGCGGGGCAAGGGCAGTGTAACCTAAACATTTGTACCCCCATAATATGCAGAAATAAAAAAAAATATTATAAAGACACATCTGTTTATATTTGATGCTGAAGAAGACCACAGCACCTCAATAGTAGTTATTGTCCTGTTATATTGTTAAAGAACTGAAAGCTGTTAAATCTAATACATATTAGTATTTGGGTACAGTTAATGTTTTCAATTATTCTGTTTAAATATATAATCTCAGCAAAAAACAAAAAGAAAAAGAATACAATAAAACTCTGGAACTGAAAAAAAAAAAAAAAAAAAAAGAAATTCCGGAAATTCCTTCTAGGTGAAGAAAGAAAGGCCTACCAGCTAATGCCCAAAATACCTGTTTTCAGTGTATGAGTGTAAGGTAATGAGACAGAAATCAACAAGCTGAATAGAAATAAGTCTAATACACTTTTGTACCAAGACACAGCAGGCAAGGACTAACATTCCCCCCTTCAAGAGACTGCCCGATGTGTCATAGGCTCTTTAAGGGATATGTAAGTGAGTGAAGCACAGTCCCTGTGAACAGGGAACTTGCAATCTGACCTGGGAAGTAGGCCAGGCACACAAAGAGGGTCAGTGTCAGT